GGCTTTATGTATTATGGATACTGAAGTTTGAGTTTCAAATAATTTTCACGTGTCACACAGTAGTAGTAGTTTGATTTTGTTTTTTCCCAAGCATTTAAAGATACAAGAACTAAACTCATGTCCGCACAAAAACACAGGCCCTGATTTGCCGACCCCTGTTCTCAGCAGTCTTCCAGCTAGAGAGTTACAGTGGTGACCGGAACAGAGTCCCTGTCCCCACCGGGCCCTGCGTTCCCATACAGCGCAGGACTTTGTAAGTGCCACTGGTCCGGTAGCTGAAAGGTGTTGCCTTTCTTAGAGGAGTCTTCCTCATCGGACAGTTCCAGCTTTAGTGTTTGCACTCAACCTGACCTTAAAGTGAATTTGGGGGGAAGCCTGGGTGGCTCAGTCGGTTAAGCGTCTGCCTTCGGCTCAGGTCATGATCCCAGGGTCCTGGGACTGAGCCCCACGTGGGGCTCCCTACTCAGTGGGGAGCCTGCTTCTCCGTCTCCCTCTGCCCCTCCCCCCCTCCGGCTTGTGCTCTCTCTCGCTCTCTCAAACAAATGATCTATAAAGTGAATTTGACACATAAATGTGCTAGCTAGTAATATCCTTGCTGTGAGATACTTTTTTCTAGATCGTGTCGTCTGCCTGCCCCCATTTTTGTGCCCCGCAAACGCCTCATTGCCTCACTTGTGCCAGGCCACCGGGTTTGGTGCTGGGCCTGCGTCTTTCTGGAAGCTAGGGCGGAGGCTGCGGGCCCGGGAGTGGCCTTCACCTTCCCAAGCACAGCAGTACTGAGCTGTTCCGTCTCCACTGTCCTCTCTGCCTGTTTCCAGACACCAGAGTGCTCTGCTGAGGAGCCGGGCCAGCCCTGTGGCATCCTCGCTCCAGAGTGCTGATGACAGGGCACTTTCAAGGTAGTGTTGTAGCCCACAGGCTCACGCCTTGTGTTTGTAGTAGCTATGGAAACTTTAGAAGCCGTCTCTCTAAAGCTAAGCGCACAATAAAGCACTTCACGTGTTGGTAGGATTAGACTTTAGAAGATGTTTAATTTTCTCCCCCACTCTTTCTTTCCGTCTGTCTCTTTAGAGAGGGAACAAGGGGGCAATGTGAATATTAACTGGGACTCGCTTTAATCTCCCTAGTGACGCTCGGGGCTGGCGCGGGGCTGCCCGGGGCTCGGGGCTTTCACAGCCGCTAACAAGGACAGCCATGCATATTCATGAGCCAGGCTCGTGCGTGAGACCCCGTTTGTAAGGGCTGTGTTTCAGTGTCTCTTTTCAAACCAAATTTTATGAAAGAAACAACCACTGAATTTGGTTTTTTAATTATTATTGAGTCAGAGACCCCAGTCGGTAGTGCAAAAATGTTCTCACTGGAAATAGGGACAAAGTCGAGCTTGTCTGTGTGGCACTTAATTTATAGCCAGACAACACAGCCCCGAGTGTGGGAGCTCGCTGGAGGTGGAGATGCAGAGCACGCCTTTTGTATTTGCCCAGAAAAAGTGTGTGGCGGAACGCCGTGTTCCGACTCCACGAAATCCTCCTCTTTTAAAGAGGAAGTACTACCATTTCCCTTATATATAAGAATGTGAAACATGCATTTAAGCGAAAAGGGTGGGGGGTTTGCCCTCCAGTTATTTCTCATCTTCGAGGTGTGCACAGGAGCTGCCTCCAGTGTGTGGCCGTGCTTCTCCCAACCCCTCCACTCCTTCCGCACGCTCCCTCCGGCCTGTGAACACCAGTTTTGGAAAAAGACAAAAATGCCTTTTCTCTTTGGGCTTTACTGTGTCTTCTGTTAGGTTGTCCATTTGGTGGCTGTGCCGGGCATCAGTCCCTCGAGAAGTTCACGGCTGTTGTGTTTTGTTCCTGGCGTGGTGCTGGCCACCTGTCGGGAACCTTTAAATTGTTCACTTCACTGCTCCCCTTCTCCTCTGTCCTCCTCTCTCCCTGGATGTAAACTGGGTGGCGTGTTGGTGTTTAGTTTCCAAGTCCGTTGAGGGTGAAGTGCTACAAAGCTACTGTGGCAGGATTTTCACAAAATGCGTCAGTTGCCTCAGCACGATGAGCGTGATTGAGATCTACCCTCTCATCTGCCCACACGGTGGGAATTCTCCTGGGGCCTGTTGACATGGGCCCTTTGTTGACACAGTGCAAGGAGCTCTCTTGCCTGGGTTGCATTTATATGGGTTTACTTTCATGTCATCCCTCCACCCTGCAAAGCCCTGAGTCAGGAAACCACCCTGAGAACAAGCAGGAAAAGCAGAGCTTGTGCGGGCCGCTGCGGTGTCACCACGGCCCCACCCATGGGCTGAGTGGGAGATAGCGCTCCCTGGGTCGGACGTCCAGTGGACCTCGCCCGGCGCAGTGCACGAGACCTCACACTTGCTCGGGAGGAGTTCGCAGGGTGTCCGGGCGGACACACAGACACCATCCTAGCTCTGTAGTGTCCACAGCCCACTTTGTGTCAGGGGCCAGACTGGCTGCTGGGGATGCTCAGATGGATGCACGGGGTGGCTCCTGCCCTCACGGGGCTCACAGGTGAGCATGGTGCAGCAGGCTGGGCCGAGGGCTGCTAGCGAGTGCTCTGCGAACACGCGCTGGGCGCACCTGACTGACACCGTCCGGAGGCCGTGCCCGGCGTGGCGATGTTGCTGGAGCCCAGGTGCGAAGGGTGCCTGGTAGGAGAGGTACACAGCGGCCCTTGGGCCAGGGGTCTTGTTTGCCCTCTAACAGTTTGATCGGTGCAGCTCTGGAAGGTGGTTCACTCTCCAGAGACACCCTGCCTTTCGTCTGGCAGCATCAAGGCTGACGCCGGATTCCTCCATTACCGAGCCGCACCACCCCCCTCCCGTTTCCAGGAGCTCTCATGGGGCATAGAGGGGAGTTTCGGGTTTCCTGCTTTCAGTCACATTTCAGTGAATTACCAGGAAGCTTTAGAAAGAAGTGCTTTGCTCCTGTCATTAGCATTCAGGAATAATACACGTGAGCTAAAATTCTTCAGTCTTCTATCTTTTCTTGCCTAAATTTACCCTTCAGTTGTTTGCTCCTTCAGTCGGATGTCCCGACACCGCCTCCCCCTTTTCATACAGAGTGAGGAAATGAATTTGTAGAGTGGTGTCATTCTGGATGAGAAATCACTTGCGGCACACGATTCATGGTTCAGAAATTCCCTAACACGTTGGAAGTGTTTGTCATCCAGGATCCTCACTTTTATTCTCTATACTGGCGTAGAGTGGGGGTTCGGCGATTGTGGAAAAGGGGGAGAAAGTCACAATTAGGCTTTGTGCATTTGAGTATTTGTTGGGATTCTATCTCCAGAAATAAAATACAGCCCTTATAAAGGTACTGGGCTTTATCATCGGAGGATGACGGGTAAATGGCAGAAGGACATTCTCCCACCAAAAGGGGACAACTAATTATAGAATCAGCATCAGCTGGGCATCAACCATTCCTATTCTGTGCCATCTGGAACAGGTTAGTCATTTATACTCACAAGTGGTTTTAATGGTAAACCTCCAGAGACCAGTGGGTCATTCACTCAGCAAACATCTGCTCATCCTCTTCTTGGGGCCCGTGGCCCCAGCTGGGAGGGGCCGGGAGAGGCAGGGCCGGCGTGGACCGTCTGTGATCTGGGGCCATGAGGAGCTCGAAGGCCTTGTCAGGATTGTGAACCAGCATGGGTGTGTCGGAGGGACTGGGATGGAGCAACTTTTAAAACCGCAGAAGATCTGTCCTGAACATAAAACAGCCATGTTCCGTGCATCTCAGTTGACTGACTTCAATGGACAGGCTCATTTTTCACTACCTTGCTCTGAGGTTACTGAACTAGGGAAGCAGTTTGATTCACATTCTTTCTCAGACTCTACAAGAAAGAGCCACAGGCTTTATGCACATTGCAGCCTTTCTCTGTGGCCTCCTGCGTCCAGCTGAGGGAGCTAGAAAGGTCTCAGCCCCAGCCTCACCGCTGTGTTGGGAGCTAGGACAGGGTCAGAGGCGTTGACCCTTCAGGCTGAAGAGCCTGATACATTCTGGGGACACAGATGCCCCCATTCTGACATCAGAAATGCCTGTACCGGAAACACCCTGCAGTTGGGGGAAAGAGCTTGTTTTTCTTGCCAAATTCCATCCAGTGGTGGGCAGGGAGGCCTTGCTTTATTGGAGGAAGCGCTTACTCCCCGCTAGGTGTTTTGTTATTCCCTCCGGACCAACAGAGGGTGCTGGGCCCACTGTTCTGGGCGTTGCCTACACGTGCCTGGATCCATGGCTTGGTACCCATGGCAGTTTCTCTACGGCCTTTTCTAGAACAACGTACAGCAGCAGTTTAATGCTTTCCTGAGATTTACACAGTTCTTGGTCACGGAATAAAAGACCTCAGTAAATAATACAGCGATTCTGTCTTCTGTCTGCTGTGAAGGATGCCGTGCCGCACGTGCAGGATGGGGGTGGGGGCACGGCCAGAGGACGAGGTGCTTTCTTGAGAGCACAAGTAGGCAAGCTAAGGACAGCAAATCCTTCAAAGGCTTTCTAGCTCCATCTTTAAAAATGCGGCCGAATGAGGGGAATTCCATGATGACCCCCAGGAGACAGTTCTTATTTGTAACGGAGCTCGCTTTAAACAAGATGAGTCTCTTGTCTGCTTCTCACTTGGCAACTTTGTGACTAACGCCGTCCTGCTCTTGTTCTTTCTCTGGTGGCTCGACAACATGGTTATCTGCGTGCGTGCGCGCGCGTGCGCGATCACAGAGTTCTGATGTTTCCCTGCTCATTCGTTCATCAAATCTTGATTAAGAAGCTCCGTGTGCTGGACATCACACAGGTACACACACGTGGGACATACATGTACAATGCATGTGTTGCAGCTTTTTCGCTGCTTCCGTGTTTGGATGCATACTCAGAGCACGTGCTCGGTGAGAACTCGTTCGCTCATGCCGTGTCCTGCCCTCCCTTTCCAATAACGCTCATGCGAAGTTTGGAAATGGGAAGGTACGTTGGCAGATTCCTTCACTCGGCCTCCAGTTCTGACCCAGTGGGTGGTGTACGCCATCCGCAACCTTACTGAAGACAATAGTCAGAACCAAGATCTGATTGCGAAGATGGAGGAACAGGGACTGGCGGACGCATCCCTCCTTAAAAAGATGGGCTTTGAAGTTGAGAAGAGGGGTGACAAGCTGATTCTGAAACCTACTAGTGACCCACCTCCGCTGGTGAGTGTGCCAGAGCAAGCCGCCGCCCCCTCTGGGTCCAGCCTCCCTGCTCCCTCGGTCTGTGACAGGGTTCCTTCCTGAGAACATGGCTGGGCGCACTTTGCCTTCTAAAATGGCCAAGAAAGCCCGAAGTTTAATTGCCAATAATTTTGGGTTTTATGTTCAGGCTTTATGCTGCCATTGTCTTAAAAGTTCAAGCTCATTTTAGGGGAGAAATATAAAAGTCATATCAGAATTTTTACATGGTCTGAAGTTTCTAGATTTTCTAGTGGAGAGATGGCTAATGTTGGCTACTATGAAAAGAACAGGAAGCTCCCTTTATAATACTGAGTGAGTTGTTTCAGGTTTCTCTCTCAGCCCTTGACCAAATTCTCTGTTTTTTACCCCCCCTTGGATGATTCTTATAAATAGATCTGTTATATCTGCCATTTTGTTTGTTTTTTCTTCTTAGTGAATGAACTCTCCATTGAAATATCTGAATTTTTGGAATCTGTTTCCTGGATTTTTCGTCTTCTGCAGTATGTGAAATTGCAAGTGTTTGAAGATTTATTAAGTGCAAATTCAGGAACACACGAATCCTTTAGATAATAGAGTTTAATGTGGATAAGCTCGAAAGTGAAAGTACATGAGTATTCTGTTGTTTCTTTGCTTTAGAAACTGTCTGGTTTGCCTTTGTCCCCATGGATACAGTGTGCATTTAAGTAATATATTGTACTTACTGTGGCAACAGATAATAAATTCTTCTCCTCAAGGGTGCATCCCTTATTTGGCAAAGACTGGAGCGTTTGATTGGATTCCATTTGTTCCTTCAGATGGCAAATCAGCCCGATGCCTTTTCTTCTCTGCTTGTTGGGTTTTCTGCACTCTGCCAGGCAGTTGAAGTAGTTTCTCACTGTGATTAATTCTAGCAATCTCTTTTCACCCTTTCTGCCTTTCCAAAACATTGACAAGACTCATTTCCAGCTAATTAATTCGAGAGATGCTGAAGAATAGAGAAGCTCCATCTTCATTTTAGGGACTGGGCTGTGCTGTCACTGAGCCCGGCCCTTTGGAACGGCGCAGGGAGTGAGGAGGGGGGGGGATGTGCAGGCCATTAACTCTTCTCTTTCCAAATCACCCGGGAAGAGACCTCCCAGACCATTGTGCTCCCAGGGGGATGCCTGCCTCTGACCCGCTTTCGTGCCTCTGTGAATGGGGCTCTGTGTGCAGGGCCACAGGATTAAAGAGCGTCCGTGTCTTGTTCACTTTCAAAGGCACAGTCTCCTAAAGCATGCCACCCCAGTTGCGGCCACGGCTCCACTTTCCAGAGTTGCAAGAGTAGCTTTGGGGAGCGAGAGCAAATTTGACCTGTACCTTTCTATTTCCATCCCTTTGTCTCTCTCTCTCTTTCTTTGTCTCTCTCTCTCTCTCTCTCTCTCTCTCTCTCTCTATATATATATATATATATACACATATTAGAGCTGGAGCATTAAAACGAGCCCTGAAATTTCAGATCATTGATGTAACCAACAAAAGCTCTAGAAGGGAGGTCATGTATGAACATTCCTGAACAGCCAGTTACTAAAAGCTATCTAGAGATTTTGCAGAGTTCTGTTGAATCTTCCAGAATGAAAACAACAAAGATTCAGCCAGAAGTGTTACAGAAATACTGATTGTTCCAGAGTAAAGTGCTTCTAAGTTTTTTTTGGTAGCCATACTTAAATTGCTTTTGTAAAAACAGCTTAAGCATATTCAGAATGAAATGAAAGTTGTCCCCCGTGCTAGTGTACTATCTCCGAAGAAACTCGGCTTCTAGAATTGTAGTAATCTGTGAATAACATCTTTTTCTCTCTCATTTATGACATTCCATCAGTAAAGAAGCCTTTGCAAAATTTAAAATGCACAAAGAAGTCATTCTTTTCTGGGACACAAAGAGTTAACATCCTGTCCTCTAAATAGAGGGCCCGCCAAAGGAAAAAAAAAAACAGTGGGAGTCCCTTTTTCCTTTTAACAAGTTTGCAATAGACACTTCTTTTTCTTCTTCTCTCAATGGATGTATGCACACCAGTGGAATCAAACAAACATGTCGGTATAAGCCATATAATAACAAACACAAATAAACAAAAGGGAGCCTTGTGTGGGAACACAGAACGGGGTAATGGCTGTGTGTTTTCTAACTAGGAAATGGGGGGCTTGCATAGTGAAAACAGGCTGACAGCTGCATTGTGGCTGCTTGGACGCCCTGGATGGCTAATCCTCCAGCACAACCAACAGCTTCCCTGTCCTCCCTCCACCACTTGGCCATTCTGAGAGCCTCGTTCTACATGCTTGCTGCAGAGGATTAAATCACCATCTCAATCAGGCATTTAGAAGAAGAAGAAAGGCAGGCAGGCCAGCCTTACAGCATTTGTAAAGGGACAGAATGGTCGCAGCAAGTTTTGTGACCATATTATCGCTTCCAAGAGCAAACTAACAAAGCTGTTCAATTTTTTAGCCTGTTTCATTATCAAAGAAAGTGGGGGAAGGCTTTTCTGCTTGATACTGAGTCCAAGTATTTGCAGAGTGATTTTATTTAATGCATTAACAATGGATGTTAATGTTTCAAAAATACTTACTTGCATGATTTTAGTAATATGCGTCTGCATTTTATATATATGTATATGTCCACATGAATACACCTCGTAGGGTTGTTTGTGAGGTTTTTTTAGAAGCTAACATTGAGATACATTTTTGTTCAGTAACTTCTGAATCTAGCCACAGAGCTTGGAAACTACTAAAAATGCCCATTTTGCAAAATGAAATGTAGAGAAGTGATTGTGGTCATTTGGGCTATAAGTAGCACATTTTAAGTCAAATGGGCAGAAGATACACATATGTGCCTTGTGCCCCTTAATATATCTTGTGCCCATTACCTACTGAAGGCATCAATATCCTCTTCTTTTACCAACACCTGGAATTGAAATTTATTTAAATGTCATCATTATCCCTTCATTTCCATCCTCGAATGAATAAACAAAGACATTGTAATAGAAATGCCAATCTCTGCAGGAGGAAGACTTTAAAATACATGTTCCATCATCAGTAAGTTCTGCACATAGGAACCAGTTTTTACATGAGAGTCAGTAAAATTGAGACAGAATTGTAAAATGCAGAGAAGTTGAGGAAGAACCCTAACATTCAAAGTCTAATACAAACCCAGTCCTTTGGAATGTGGTGGGGGTGGGGGGGGGAGAAAGGGCACTTTGGGCGCTGTCCACGGTCCTGATAATTCTAGCCCCAGTGGCCTGTATATGAAAATCAATTTAAAACCTTGTTTTCAAAATTCACATTTTTCCCCTTGCATTTGTATGATATAATATCTATTTTTCTTTTCCCTACAAATTTTTATATACTTATTTGGATTTTTTTTTATGTCAAATCGTGTTTAGGGGATATTTTACAATTTAATTCACGATTTATAACCTACATGAATTTTAAAGGTAAGTTTTTTTCTGTAAATGTAGTGGTGATAGTATTAACTCATTCATCAGACTTCCCTCATCACAGCCAGTTTTGTCAGCGGAAGTGACTTTTTGAAGGTTTTGATCATTGTTTATTGTTGCTCCAGTTAGAACCTTAAATTAGAAACATCACATTAAATGTTTCTTCTTGTTTAAACAACATCAAATACGTTCATTTATGCACAGTGTGTCCTGCTCGTTTTACATGCTTCAGTGAGAACTTCCGTGATGTTTCTTGCACGTGTATAATTTTTGCTGCCGCCGTGTAAAGCACGGTGGTCAAAAGGCATAAACAGAAGTGAGTGTGCGTGGGTTATGGGCCCCTGTCTCTCGCCCATGTAACTCTGGGCAGACTCCGTAAGCTCTGCGTCTCCACTTGCTCAAGCAGTAAAATGGCGCTCATGGAACGACCGACCCACAGGAGTGTCTGGGGGTAAAAATTAACGAACACGCTGATAGTACCTGTTACGTGGTGAGCATTCAATCCTCCCAGCACTCTTTCTTGCTTGACGTGCATCTTCGGGCCCTTCGCACCTTCACCGTGAGTATTTCTGAGAGAAGCACATGGAAACTACACCTTGTCTCCCACTGCCCCCGTCTCCACAGTGCAGGACACACAGGAGGTGCTCACCAAATGTAGTTTATTTAGTCAGCAGATACTTGTGTGATGCCTTCTGTGTACCAGTGTTCTCAGCACTTCGAAAATATTAGTCATTTAATCTTCAGAGCAATGATACGGTATGTTCTAGGCTTAATCCCATTTCACGGATGAGGAAGTTGAGTTGCAGGGGTTAACGCCCAGGGCCACACAGCAGGTAATGCGTAATGATTAATTGCTGTAGTTAATTAGAAGGGAATGAGTGAGGAGGAAAATATGGCTTCTTTCCCAGAAGCATGGAAAGTAAATCTAGCAGAAATGCCTAGACTGTGGCTCAGGACGTAGAGCAAGGGGAGCTCCATGGGAAGAACGTGGGCTTTGCAGTTAGAAAAACCCGAGTTTAAATCTCAACTCCACATAAATTGCTTAACTGCTCAGGGCCTACGTCTCCTCAAGCAGTGTGTACCAGGCAGGCGCTGGGGGCCCAGCAGTAAAGAAGGTAGACACAGTCTGTGCTCTCGTGAAGCTTCTGTTCTGATGAGAATGACAGAAAATTAACAAACAGATCAGAACAAGGGCATCACATACTGCAGTGAATGCCGTGAAGAAAAGGTGATGATACGGATGGTAAGTGGGGTGCCCTTTCTGAGACGGTCACATCTGACCTGTGCGGAGAGCTGGGGCAGAGCATTCACAATGAGACGGCGCCAAGCACGAAAGCCCCAGGATGGCAAGCTTCATATGGTTGACGGCCAGGAGGGTGGCCAGGCCAGTGAGGCCAGTGCCTGGTGACCGGGGAGAGGTGGCATGAGGGAGACTTGGTCAGAGGGATAAACGGGAGTCTGATCATGCAAGGTTTTCGAAGCCACGGGAATTTGAATCTCACCTGAAATGTGTTGGGAAGGTACTAAATGGCACCCAGCATAGGAATGAGAAGATCCACTTCACGTTTTTCAGTGACCACTCTTGCTGCTGTGTGGAAAATGAATTGCAGGGGGAAAAGAACAGAAGCAGAACATAATTTATGGAGCTACCGATGATGGTGATTTAGACACGCGTAAGTCAGTGGCTGTGGAGAGACGGGTTTACATTTGATGTATGTGTTGGAATTCATAGGACTTGCCGATGGATTGTTGAGGATGGACTAGAAGTAAACAAGAATAACTCTTAAAATTTTGTTGAGCAACTGGGTAGATGATTATATTCTCCCCGAAGTGGAAAAGTTTGATGTGAAGGGGCAGAGAGAATCGAGATTCTCTTTGGGGCAAATTAAAGTTTGAGATGCTTTTGAGACCTCCCAATGGAGATGACTTTGAAAAGCAATTGGGTATACAAGACTGGAGCTCAGAAGACAGGTCAGTGCTGGAAGTACATGTTTGGAGTCCAGTAGATGATCATTTGAAGCCATGGAGATAAATGAGATTGTCTAGTGCAGGGGTGTATATAGAGAAGAGGGCCAACTACAACATGTAGCCCACATATAAGCCTACACTTAACATTATAGCTTAAGGTATTTCCATATGCTAAAAACCCCTCATAAAAAGTTTCAGTGGCTGCATCATCAAAATATTCCGTAGGGGACTTAACCATTCTCTTGTTATTAGACATTTTGTATTGTTTTTCATCATTATAAATGTTGTGAACATCTTGGTGCATAGAGCTTCATTTGCATCTTAGGATGCTTACTCTGGGAGGTCAA